AATGATTCTGCTTTTATTCCCTGCTGGTTCAGTAATGCTTACTTCTTTTTCCTTCAGCTTTCCATTATCCAGAGCTGAACACCAGTCAGCTGCTTCGCTCTTCCTGGGTTCGAACCGGTACAACGCTTCCAGTTTCTGCTCCATTCAATAAACTGAAAACAATCATGATTGAAATGACTTATGATTGGTTTGTTTATAGTTCTCCTGGGTGTTCTGGACAAGAAAATGAGCGAACGGACCTTTCAAGCCAACATGGAGCGCAGAGTGGCCTTGTTGCTTGGGGAAGCGATGGGACAAGTCAGGCGGGTCAAAAGAGCAACCGCTGTAGGCAACAGCAGCGTACAGGTAGCACACCTTTGCTCTCATTCAGAACGTTGGAAGAAAAGACATGAGCTTAAATCTGCTGTAACTTTATTTATTTGTAGTTTTTAATCAGAAAATCTAGAAACAACAAAGAATATGCAATAGTTTCACCAACAAAACTATAATCAAAGATATTCTGACAGCAGTTACACTTTATAACTTATATAATGTCACAACAAAAGTTCTCTAAAAGTTGTAAGTAACTCATTTTATTAATATTGTGCAGACTTCTAGTTGTTCTTAAAATGATGGAAGAACAAAAACCCTCTGGCCTAGATTAAACCACAGTGTTATTTCACAGTGATGACCCTCTGCAATAGATTTAAAATCATACATGAATCAAAGGAAGTTTGTAGCATTAGCAGGTTTTATTATTTAGATCTTGTGCAATGTATCCCATTTTAGGATAAATCACAAATGCAGCAGCAGCTTGCTTCCTAACTTCAAATCTTAAAGTATGTGAAATTGACAATTTATTTTAGATTTGCATCATGTTATAATGTTATTCTCTCATCAAAAACATACCCAGAGTGTTACTTACATTTTTATAGCACTTTATTATGCTTTAAAATGATATGTGCCTGGAAAATTCATAATGCCCACTTTAATGATCCAAGAGCACTGTGGCTGAGTTTATTCGTGCCTCAGAACAGAAATGATTTAAAATCCTAATGTTTACATTAACTGGGCAGTTGAAAAAGAAATGTCAGCTATTCAATCTGACTGTTAACAGAAATCATCACCAGATGAGTCTAAACTGCAGTAAATGTATTAAAAATTAACTTATCAGAAATGCTTGGTACTTTCTTTCCAAAAAAAAACCAAAGAAAAGCTCCACCTAATAGTTTAAGGTAAAGTAAGACGTACTACCTCCCAACCAGCGGATTTTTCTGGGGTAAATGTCTGTCTGGTTCTCTGTTTTCATCCTGGTAGATGCAGTGGAAAGTAATGGGGGTAAATAGTTGCCCCAGAAAGCAGCCCTGGTTCCTGGAAACAGATCCTGCAGTTGAAACACACATTTATTCCACGCTAAACCAAACCATGGGCACACACACACACGCACACACACGCGCCCGTGCACGCACACACACACACACACACACACGCACACACACACATCAACTCTGCAACTGGATGCTTAAGCTAACAGAATCCTTCCTAAATATTTTAGATTCATGCCTCTGTTTACTTTTAATATCTTTATAAGCGGTAGAGACTCTGAGTGCTGGGACGGACTACAGACTCATTATGTGAGTTGCAGTAACCAGTGAAAACCTTACTGCTTTACTAATCAAGCTTCATCTTTTGTGGGTCTTCTCTGCACCTGCTCATCTCAACTCCAAAGGGGGGCAGGATGTGGCTTTTTTCTCCATGGCAACAGCATCCCATTTACCCAGGAGACGGGCCACTTAACAACCTCCACCTAAAGGGGTTCAGATTTCTGTCGCTTTTCCTCGTTTTTTCACTCGCCGGCTGGGGAGAGCCACAGACCTGCTAACAGCAGATCAATTATTCATTTGGTCGCTTTCTCAGTCTGGATCCTTCGGTTCAGATGATTAAGAGTTGTCTATTTTAGTAAAGTAGCGGCTTTAATGTGGTGGGATTCAAAGACATGTAAGACTAAAGAAACTTAGAATCAGTGAATGCCACAAACGCAGATAAAGGTGACATCTTATGAGGAATATTTTTATTTGACTTTATAAAATCTAAGTTTAGAATGTGGATGCTGGAGTAATAATTTCAAACATTCTGCTTCAGAAATTATCCTAATTCAACCTGATAATTAAACAGAAAATGTAAATATATTTAATTAATATTGCTCTCAACTTGTCTGACCATCTAGTCCAGCAGGGCTTAAGCTGACCGTCTCTTAGTGTTTTTTTTGCTCACTAATTCACATCCTGTGTGTCAGACAGATGCCCTGATCTACCATGACAGAATAGGCGTAGTGTTGTCACCCATGAAAATACCTGATGAGGCTTTCTGAGCAGATAAAAGAGGAGGCTGGAGGGGGCGGCGGGGCAATAATACACACATTCATGCTGACCTCTTTCCACTCTAATAACTGTGCATGAACTAGAACTGACTCTGCATGAGGTCGCCTGCCCAGACACGACCTGAGCGTTAGGCTGTCCTGTCCTACAGACAGCAGCAGAGCCTGAGGGCGCTGAGCGGGGAATCACTCACACACACACACACACGCACTCAAAAATAAAAAAATTAATGAAGATCATTTAAACAGTGGCCGATCTAATCAGATGCATATTTGCCCCCTAGGCGATTTCTGTTGACGGCAAGTATAGATAAATATTTAATGCATTTTTCAAAGTTGGCACCTTTGCCACCGATAAATCTTTTATGTCACCATGGAGGAAGTCGAGACACCTTTATTGAAGAAATGTTTTAATTCAACCACATTTTCCTGTATGAACAGCCAGTTGAAGGTCATACGACATCATCATGGGTCAGCAGTCAAATTCGCTCAGACTTAAGGTTACAAACTGACTACATAGCATTATCCTGAGTTGCTTTAATGATGTTGAGTTGTCCTGGTCCTAAAGCAGCAGAGCAGCCCCAGATCACCACACCACCACCACCATGTTTGACCGTAGGTTAAATGTTATTTTTAACATAACATGCTAACAGTTCAGCATCCCAGCAACAGAGATGATATTCCACAGTAACATAATCCTGGACGACTCCACCAATTGCTGTCTGGCACTGCTAATCCACCTCATTTGATTTACTGCATCTCTTTAAATCTCTGTCTGGCCATACGGTTAGAAAGCTGAACAAAGTCAATCTTTGCCCGTTATGATCGATAGATGAGATGGTACAGCAGTAAATGTATCAAACCATTTTTAAAAAAATTATATTGGTCCAGACATAAAATAAAGATTACTGTTCAGTTTGCTCGAACTTTCCTTTGAGGGTTTATAGCATCCTGCTAAAGTATGCTGTATCCAAATCTTTTGAGTTTTACTTCCTGCCTTCAAACGAATTCTCGACTCCTCAGAGTTTCTGTGTTTCACTGACAATGAGGCGCTGCCTTCTTCATTATAAAATCATTCTTTCCCACAGCAGTTGTGACACATTGCTCGTTAGGATCTTCATCAGATATTCCATTCTTAATTTAGTGAGCAGGCTGCGTCATCGTCCCTGAATAGCTCGTTTGCTTTTGGAAGCACTACTTTCCAGCTGCTTGTGTTCGAAAGTGGAAATATCTATAACACAACAAATTCTAACGTCCTAATTACACCGCAGGGTTAGTGGTGAAGCTCACTGTGGTCTACACTGATACTAAAAGCTCCAAATAACTACAGATAAGAAGAAATATGGCAACATTTGAGGGAAAAGACTTAAAAAACATTTAATGAGGTAATTACTGAAACTAAGTTAAAGAAAGGATAACTATGTCATTATGAGTGGTGATCGGTTTGCGTAGAATAGAAACCAGACATCTATACTCTATTTGGCAACGTCCCTTTTCCTTAAGCTGCTATTTGTTTTCTTGCAATCCAGCTAAACGTATGTCAAAACTCATCTGACGTGGTTCCAAACTCAAAGGAAGGAAGTACAGTTTAGGAAACATCAACTCTTCTCACAACATGAAGAAGATGAAGAAACGACAGGCAGCCATTTTTAGACTTGTACATTTGTAGACTGTCGTAAGAGCACAGAATGAGGGTTCATTTTTCAAAATCATATTTTCACAGTTCTGTTTATTTGCAAATGTCATAGTTTCAAATTGAATATTTAATTTGTAAGCTAATTTTTAACATTTTAATCTAAATATTAATCTAGCAAGCTAACAATTTAGCTTAAAAGTAATAATTATGTCTGAGATAGCTAAATATTTAGTTTAAAGCTAAATATAAGTATTTAGCTCCAAATTAAATGTTTTATCAAGCTGTTTAGCTCTAAAATGGATTTTTAGCTTTAATATAACTAAATATTTAGTACAAAGCTACATATTCAGTTAGCATTTGCAAGCTATCTATTTAGCTTAAGGCTAAATAGATACAAGTCCACGTTTCTCTTGAGTCGAGGCTGAAACCGCTGCATGTCTCCTCTGTCAGGTTTTGAGTGTGAGCCGGCTGGAGGGTGCCGACAATCCAGCCGAGATGGTGTATTTTGTGGAGGGTCAGAATGGTCAGAGGATGCCTGCTGTCCAAACCGCCGACCTGCTGAACAGCCTGGATGTTCAGAGGGCGGCCATTGTCCTGGGCTACCGTGTGCAGGGCGTTCTGGCTCAGCGTGCGTATCCCCTCTGTTTACTGTGGTTGGTGTTAAAGCGCCATGTGTCATCCTGTCGCTCTGCTGGTGTTGCTTCCAGCTGTGGAGAAAATGGCGTCCTCTCCCTCCGACTCAGAGAACAGCAACATGTGGATCGTCATCGGCGTTGTGGTTCCGCTGCTCGTCGTCGTCATCATCATCTCCATCCTCTACTGGAAGCTCTGCCGGACCGACAAGCTGGAGTTCCAGCCGGACGCCATGACAACCATCCAGCAGAGGCAGAAGGTACATCCAACATCCACCCAACGTATATAGATGTTGGATGGATAGATGTATACATGGATATATAGATCCATCCATATATGTCGGATGGATCTATGTAGCCATCCAGCGTATATAGATGTTGGATGGATAGATGTATACATGGATATATAGATCCATCCATATATGTCGGATGGATCTATGTAGCCATCCAGCGTATATAGATGTTGGATGGATGGATATTGGATGAATGCATCCAACATCTATTTATCCATCCGTCCATCCATCCTGTAAATCTGACCCAGTCTGGATGATGGATATTCTACTAATGATGCTGAAACTGGATCAGTAATATTATTTTAATGGTGTTCTCACTAATGCAGCCAAGTTGTTGCTGCTTTTCTGTTGTTTCCTTTTTTTTAACACGTTTGTGTTTCATTTGCACTGATTACATTAGTAATGGGGAAAAGCTTTTAATTATTAACCGTGCTTTAATTTTTTTACCTTGCAAATAATTTGATTCAGGGTTTAATTTGAGCCACAGCAAGTTATGCAGTGTCTGAAGAAGATAAGGCCAGAAAGAAACATGTGACTTATGGTCACTTAAAGGAGCTGCTGATTAATTAGGTCTATCCGTCTATGTAATGAATGTGCTGCAGGAGCAGTGCTTTAATAATTTTATTACAGAGAATTATTACTTCTCCTCATGTTACTGTAAAAGGCAAATTACTTCTGCTGGTATTTATTTCTTTACAGATTAATTTCCCTGTTTCCTAATTTTAATCTGTAACAATTTAGACCAGTTTTCTCCTTGTTCTTCAACAAAATTATATCAGATTTAAATGTTTTTTTTTTTTTCCAGTCCCTTATATTCAACATCATAATATCAAAGATAAGAAAAAAAGCTAAATGTTATTCTCTTGCCTCGTTTATAGCATCATTTTGGTCAAAAGCTCCTTTGTTGTTGTTTTTTTTTTTAATGTCACTGATGTTAAAGTTTTCCTCTGGGAACCACACAGCTTCTTTGTTCCAACTCTGACTGAATGTCTGCAGCTGCAGCTTGCTGTTTTTTTTTTTTAAACTGTGCTTTTATTGTGAAGAGTCTGAGCAGATGCCCTGGCCGGTTAGAGCACAGCCTCGTCTTTTCTACTCATCGTCTGTCACTCATCCACTGCTCTTCTCTCAGTCCACCACTTCGTTCAGTGAATCAGGAGCTTCCCTTCACCGGCCGCGCCCTCCGACTAAAAGGGATATTGAGTTTAGTGAGGATGAAGAGGGGGAGTATGAGGAAGAGGAGGAGGAAGAAGAGGAGGAGCTGGAAGTTAAAAGGGGGAAGGTACAGAGTAGTGTCTGGTGGTTTGTAGATTATGTAGTCAGACAGTTTGTGTGTGATTGTGGTTCATGTTGTTGAATACAGTCATGTTAAAAAATTAGGACACCCATTGAATATTTAGTTCTTTAAGAAATGCTTTCATATTGATGTTATCAATAAGAAAACTAAGTGATTTCATGTCACTTTAACAACAAAAATCCAACTTTTTTCTCATTAAGCAAAAGATATTAAGATAATTTTGTTTTCTAGTTGAGGAAAAGTTAGGAACGTTTTGTCTTTGGACCTCCATGTTTTCTTTGCACAACTCCCATTAAAGTTAAACTTGTTCAGTTTTTTTTTTTTTTGATAGTACAAGCCTTTACTTTTACATCTTCGGGTTTTTGGGGATTGTTTTAGCATCTTGTGGTCTGATGTTGGCGTACACGTCTTTGGACAGTCAAACCTCTGCATTTTAGCTAATGTTTCGAATGTCCTCCACTTCTTTTAGACTATTTCTGTACCATAAAACAGTTCATTTTATGTTCTTTAGAAACTCTTTAAATCCCTAACTACACTCATAATCCAACATTAGACATTATCGTTTTGAATCTCACCACTTTCGGTTTAGGAGTGAGGAGCACCAAGCTCGATGTTTCTGCTTTCTAACGGGGCAAACCTCCTTCACAGTCCTGAGTAATGATGTTTTAATTGAGCACACCTGCTGTGATACACCTGTGTGTGTGATTGCAGTCATTTTAGGACAGAGTCAACATGGGTTGTCCTAATTTATGACCTGACAGAAATTGCTTTTGCAAAAAGAATTTTTTTAATATACTTTTTATTCATGTCACTAGAATTTTTCATAAACATATGTCCAGTCTGCCATAGAGTGTCCTAATTTACTCACATGACTGTATGTGTATGGGTGTTTACTCATTTTGAATTAGAAAGGTGATGGATGTCTTTTATTGGACAGAATCTGGTTGTTGTTCAGGCTTTGGAGGTTTAAATTATTACCTGCTGGAGAAAAATATTCAACATGGATCCATTCATTCTGTCCATCATTGCTTCTGTTTAGAAACCAGTAGCTCTTCCCAAGACTAGACAAAATATGAGCAGTGATGAAGAGGAAGAGGAGGAAGAGGAAGAAGAGGAAGAAGAAAAAGAAGAAGATAATTATGTCGAAGAAGAGGAGGAGGATGACGAGGAAGAGGATGAAAATAAGAAGTTCAAAATGAAAAAAATGACATCTGAAGAGCAAAAGCTAGAAAAGATCAGAGCTGTGCCGACTAAACCATCAGGAGTGAAAACAGAAGAGAGAAAAGTTGAGTCTAAAGGGAGGAGAGCCAAGGAGAAGGTACCTGGAGGCCAGTGGTTGTTTGATGATCCTCTCATCTCGTAACTCTAGTCGACAGCAGAACTGTAGCGCTGGACGTGTGTGTGTTGTTAGTGATTTGTTGTTGGTGTGTAGGTTGTGTGTTGTGCAGTAACAGATGCAGTGTGTGGTCTGTTGTAGGTGAAGCATGAGATGTTTCCACCCTATGAAAACCTCTGTTTAGAAAAATGTTTCAACTTTATCATATGTGTTTTACTTCAAACTGAAAGCAACAATTCTCTAATTATTGCAAAATGACATTCATGTTAATTCAACTGTTTATAACATTTCTTTATCGTGTCAGTCTATGGCCCAAAACTCACAACTTGACTTTTCACGCTGCGACCAGACATTTTCTTCAGCATAAACAGAAACTCAAAGCTGCTCAAACACCATTTCTGTTTTACTCTTTCACTTTTTTCACATCCTACTACTCAAAAAAATTACACTACTGTTTTAGCAAGTGAAATATTGTAGTTTGTATTTTCCGACCAAGCGGATGTGTTTCACTCTGGAAAGTTGGAGAAGCTGTCGCTGGAAATGGTGGGAGTGTTTTGGGTCTTAAGTCGGATCCGGTTTGGCCTCCGATCCAACAGACCATCAGCAACATTTGTAAACCTACTGTCTTTAAAGGCTTGTAATCTAAAATATATTATTTGCATTTGATAATTATTTTTCCAGTTGAAGAAATTTAAATTTAATCACCCATTTATATTGTATAATATTTTACAGTAGATTTTAGGTTTTTAAATCTGATATGGCAGAAAAATATTGATGTTTCAAAACAAGTGTTGCTGTTTATCGTTAACCCATCGCAGCCAAATACTCTTAGAAATGTTTTATATACATGAATATTTTAGGCTGAAGTTTCTATTAAGTAAACAAAACAGTATGTATTGTCTTTCAGGAGGTTTTAGTCAAAGGACATTTTTTGTCCTCAGAGGCCAGCAGGTGAGGATTTTAAAGATCAGAACATTTCGCTGCAGTCCTTTTCCTCTTCCAGATTGCCGTCTGACATGTGGCGTAATGAGCATCACACAGAAGCATTCACACAAATATCCTCTCTTGGGATTAGCAGTGTCACACAGGATTAGCCGTTTTATACCAACAAGCTTCTTTTTAAAATGCACAACTGAATGTTTAGGAACTAAGGAGAGCGTTTAGTCTGGCAGCCACATCTCATCTCAGAGTTTCTCTGTCTGTCAGCACACAGTGAGCTTCTCTTCTCCTTTTACCCCTGTGCTGCTGGAACGTCCTGAGGGCTTTACACAGAAATAACCCCCACCCACCACCACCTCAGTTCTGTGTTTACCCCAGTTTCTAACAGACTGCCAGACTCTCTTTATTCATTAATGTCTGCCTGTCTCCCTCTTGCAGACCCTTTCAGTTAGTCAACCTAATTATGGCTCTAAAATTGTATTTCTGTCTTGGCTGCAAATGTCGAGTCTTACTGGAATATTTATGTCATCCTGACTTGGAACTTGTTTGTTCTCCATTTAACCTGCGTGTAAAATCCAGCTCACAGCAGCTTAGCAGCTCTACCATAATGGTCTCAGAATATTATTCCACCTTTTCTTTCCACCTTTATCCGTGCTGTGTTTACGTCATCCTCCTTTTCTCCTCAGCTACAGGCTCCCAGTGTGAAAGGCTTTGATTTTGCCAAGCTCCATCTTGGCCAGCAGAGTAAAGATGATGTCATGGTGATCCAGGAGCCCGCCCTGCCAGGCTCTGGCTCCACTCCTCTCGCTCAGTCCATTAAAGATGGCCTCAGCCCATCTGAGAACGGCGAGGTCCCCACGCCCAAATCCAAAACCTCCGCCTCCTCCACCAAGGCGTCCCGCGGCGGCCGGAGGCGAGAAAGGTCAGTGCTACTGCAGGGAAACCGTGCCTCAGTGTCAAAACTGACTGCAGGCAAACGTTTTCTCAAACGTTGTCTGAGCTGCAGATTCAGGTTTTAATTACACAAGCAAAATATTCTGCAGGTTAATTAATACAATTAGCAGTTTTGGATCTACTAAGATTGAGATTTTTTAAATGAAATTACAAGAATGAAGTCATATTAGTACCACAATAAAGTCTTGATATTATCCTAATAAACTTTTATAGTATTACCAGAAGAAAGTCATAAAAATATTGAGAAAAAAGTTGTTTTAATAAGAGCAGAGCTTTGATGGTTATCAAGATCGAAAGTGACTTGATCGTCCAGTCCGTGGTTCTTTCTCCTGAATACTGAGTCGTTTGATCAATCGTTTTGAAATCCATCTACTGATAATGATGTGATGCAGATGTGGTACGAGAACAAATATTTCTGTACTTGTAAAAGCAATACCAAAGTTTAACTTCACAAAATGTGAAACATTCCTCTTTTTATATTTTATAGTGTATTTAATGCAAGAGTTCTCCTAATAGTTCTACATTACTGTCATCATTTTATAACTTTATTCTGGTAATATTATGACTCTATTCTCATATCATTGTGATTTTTTTCTTGTATTATTGTGGCTTTATTTTGATGAGGTTTGTCGTACAAGCCTATTTTGTTTATTCTCATATTATTACTAACTAACTTTATTTTCATATGACTTCATTCTAGTGGTATTACAACTTTAGTCTCTGAATATTATTACTTTATTCTTGCTTCATTATCACTTTATTCTTTTACTGTTTTCTCTGTAGGGTTGTTAAATGTTGTCTTGTTTTTATGCAACTTTATTCTCATATTATTACGACTGATTATTTTATGACTTTGTTCAGGTAATATTGTGACTTTATTCTTTGATTATTTCCACTTATTGTTGTATGACTGTATTCCTGTTTTACTCCCTTTTGACTTGTTGGACGTCCTGGCTCAGACCTTCCTGGAAGACCTTGTTTTTTGCTAATGCATGACGCTAGAGCACATTGATCTGGCTTGTATTATTCATTTAAGTATGTGCGTGTGTGTGTGTGTGTGTGTGTGTGTGTATGTGTGTATGTGTGTATGTGCGCGTGTGTGTGTGTGCATGTTTTCTGGGCAGGATCTCCCCATCAGACGGTGACTCAGTGGTGAGTGACCACTCCAGTGAACGGGAACCCACTGAGGAGAACCTGAGAGCCCACGCCACGCCCAGCGACAGCAAGCAGACCCGTAAGGCCCCCATCAATGTTTTAAACGGCATGTGGCCACGGCAACGCTTCTCCAAACATGGAGGAGGAACAAGTTGGGGAGGGGCATGGGCGGGAAAATGAGCTGAGATAAGCAGATGAAGAAAGAGCAGTTGAAGCTGGTGGGCCTGATTGACAGCCGGACCAGACTGAGGGCAGAGGAGAAACGCAGAAAAACTGAAGAGAGCAGCAGAAAAACCAGGAAAGATGTTGTATGTTTATGTTTGTGGTGCAACAGGGTTCAGAGCAGGAATGGGGAGGGGAAACCCAACGTGCCTGAATTTACTTTATCTGACAGCTTGTTGATTGAATCAAGCTTGCTTTGTCAGGCAGGGTGTGTGTTTGGGAGCTGGACTGCGTCACACACACACACACTGCAGGCTGAATCACTCACACAGGAATGCTCGCTGTGTTGTTACTGCTAAGAACGAGCTCCACTGTGTTTGTAATTAGAAGGTGTGTGAAGCTCATGTGCGACGTCTTTGTTTTGGTTCAGTCAGTCTGTAATCAGGGTGTTTCCTGCTCCTCTGAACAACTGCTTTTGTTTTTAGAAGAATTAGAGACAAAGAAAATCTTTTATCAATCAATCAGTAATCTTTAGGGACAGTTATTGCATAATGCTGTAACATGTAGGCATAAGATTTCAGGTTATTTAAGATCATTAAGAAACATTGAACCTGAAAAATTAAAACAGTTTTAAATCTATTTATCAAATTAGGCTTTTTTCTGTCTTTTCTTCTTCTGTGTGTCACACCTGACTTTAGGTTTTTTATCAAAGTGATCTTTAACTTTGTTTTTCTTGATTTGTTTGATCTCATTAAGACTCTTTCTCTTTTCCATCATGGTTTACAGGCAAGAATAGAATTGGTAAGAGTTTCTGTGTTTCCCCCATGGAGCTCAGCCTTGACCTCCAGCAGCTGTCTGTGTGTGTTGCCTGTTTGTTTCTTTAGTTGTTTTTATGCTCTGTTTGTCCTCACCATCCATCACTGTCTGCTGAGCTGTCAGTCACTGCACAGATACAATAGACCTCACCAGAAGGTCTATTGTAGGTTGTCTGAAGGAAAGTTTAGCTTTTGTAGATGGAGATCCATGATCATTCATGGCAACATTCCCTCTACATTATTTTTTTTTTTTTAGAAAATAATGCTTTAAATATAGTTTATGCAATTTAATAGAAAGCTCATACCTGTGTTTGAAGCTTCTGTTCCCTGATTTAAATCAGTATTTGTAGATTAGCAATAGCAGTTAGCATTCCTGTGCTCTGCAGGGTCACATTTCCCCTCCTTCCTTTCTGCAGGTCCACCACCTATGAATGGTGTTGCAAATGAGCAGTTGTCATCAGCCTCCATCTTTGAACATGTCGACCGGATGTCTCGCGCCACAGATGCGAGCCGCAGACTCCCCAACAAAGTCCAGCTCATCGCCATGCAGCCAATGCCTGTCCCACCACTGCACAGCCCACCTGTCAACGGCAAACTGTCAGATACCAACCAAATGAACAAGGAGGTGAAATTCATCTGGATGAACAGAAAGATCCACCTGCCTAAAAACCTACCCACCTGCCCACCCATCTAACTACCTGCCTGCCTACTGACATACTTAGTCACTTATCTACCTAACAACCTTCCAACAAACCAACCAGTTTACTTACCTACCCACCTACCAATCTATGTAGCTACCCGTCTATCTACCTACTAACCAACCAACCTACCAACCAACCTTCCTACTTACTCACCCACCTTTCCCATCCACCCACCTAGCTACCTATATACCTTGCCTACCTAACTACAAATGCATGGCACACTTTTCAGATTTTTATAATGAATGTTGAAAACCATGAATCATTTGTGCTCATTTGTTTTGTTTTTTCAAATAAAGTCCCAATAAGATTGATTAGAAATGTCTGTGTGGTTCTAAACTTCAGATCCAGGCAGCGTTGAGGCACAAGTCAGAGATTGAACATCATCGTAACAAGATTCGTCTGCGCGCCAAGAGGAAAGGTCATTATGATTTCCCTGCAATGGACGACATGATCGGCAGCCTCGGCGATGCAAAGGAGCAGGATCGCATCTACCAGAAGGCACAGAATCAGATCGATAAGATTCTGGACCCAGATAATCCCGTTCCCGCTGTCTTTATGGATTCCAAGAAAAGGTTTGAGCTGATGTCTTTGAGCAGTGATTGTGTGTGAAAGCATCGTCTGATCCAGCTGAGGCAGGATGACTCCACGTCATGCGGACTCTTGTCTGTTGGCTCCCCAGCGGTCGTGGGCGGCGCTCTCCAAAGCAGAG